TGTTGAATTAAGAGAAAGTAGCTGTATATTTATCCTAATTATTTTGAATATACTAGGGCAATGGCTCAGTGGAGTAAGTGCTTCCCTGGCAAGCGCAAGGTCCTGAGTTCAATCCCCAGATCCACAAAAAAAAAAAAAAAAAAAAAAAAAAGACTCTGTAAAGGTAACATATGAAGTTACAAATTATATTAATTGAATATAAATCTTCTTTTCCAACAAGCTTCCCCTCAAGAAAAGTGTCGGGGGCCAGGAAGATAGCTCAGTGGAATAAGGGCTTGCCTGGCAAGTGCAAGGTCCTGAGTTCATTCCCTTGTACCACAAAAAAAAAAAAAAAAAAAAAAAAAAAGTATTGGGACCAAAGATTAAATCAAAACAGTCATTTTATGGGAAAAGAAGAAGCTTTAAATGTTTGGGTATGTGAGGATGCAGAAGGGAAAGAGACTTCTATGAAATTAACAAATAGAAGCTCAGGACATAGACCTCACTGTGATTACATACACAACTTTCCCTCACCTGCAACAATAGGGACATTGTCCCTCCTTAGATCTGGAGATGAGCGAATGGAATGTACACATGAAATTTTTTCTCTCTTACTCCAACACTGTTTTATCAACTACCAAGGCAGCCTTTGCCCTCAGCATGAACTGAACAAACCTCTGTCCTTCCGAATGTGTGTGCAGAAGTTTAACTATCGAGAAACCATAGCTGAGTTCTCCTAGCAGTTTCTGTTTCACACCCTGCATAAACCATCAGCAGCCTCCTCCCTGGGCTCAGGGGGAGCAGAGTACAGGATCCACGTGCAGCGGCTCTTACAGGTGCTGAATTTTTCTGAGTTCATCTTCTATCCCATATTCTTGGCAGACCCGCAATCTCAGCACATCACATGCAGTTCCTTTTGCAACACTTATCATCTATACCCAAGCTAGAGAATCCGACAAAAACTCAGCTCTCAGAAATAGCTGCCATCTAACCCATGTGGCGGATGCAGGGTGTACAGTTGCCCAGAAAGATTCCATCTCCCTGCTCTTCGGCCCCAGCCTCTTTTGTCTAGACTTGCTCATGTGCTTGGTCTCTGGAGAGCACTGCAGTCACTATTACCTTTCCTATTTTTGCAGGCAAGGACTCTTGAAAGTTCCTCTGGCTCCAGGCAACTACTGTGAATACTGCTCTCACTGTCTCCCTTTGTCCCTGCCTTTAAAGTCCTCACCTTTCACCACAGCAGACCCCCAGTCCAAGCAGACAGTCTCCTCTGATGTTCAAGCATCTCTCTAGCTTTCTAGTGGACAGAAGGAGCCCTCCAGCTGCACTCCCAGGAGGCCAAGTCTGTCTGTGCCATGTGCTTTATCGACCCAAGCCCTGAGAGGGCCGAGTCTGCTTTGCACCTGGCTCGCCGCTGCAGTGCAGAGCCCACAGAGGAGGAGGCTGGCTCCGCAGCTTTGCCTGCATGCCATGTACAAGCCTGCTTGCCCAAAAGAGATTTGGCTTATGTTCCTTGCCACAAGGGCACTGGAAAAAAAAAACAGTGGGCTTATGCTTAATGTTGACTTTGAGCTCTTCTGAGTGCTTACGCATTAAGGGCCCATCTTAGGTTTCTCAAATACTTTGTGAAATAAAACAGAAGGTGGAAAGGTGTTTGGATGGTTGGATGGACACCTACAACACTGTCTTGACTCCCTGAGCATTGGCCAAGGGCTTAGTATGTTTAGTATGTCCTTACTCCCTTACCACCTGTCAGCTGGTCCTATGCACTACCCTTCAGAATTGTCTTTATCACCACACAAACCTGAGTCTTACCTGAATTCTCACAGCATCTTGGTATTTCTCCTATGCTCACTACTGCTATCTCATCTTCTTTGTCATGGCTATGATGGCTTTTCAAGAATGAAAAACAGACCAGGTCACACTCCTGCCTTAACAGCTTCCACTCACCCCATTGTCTCTGAGACGGAAGCCAAAGGCAACACCTAGAAGCCTACAAAACCAGAGCTTATGCAGGTGTATGTGGGTCCCACTTGTTATCCCAGTTTCATTTCTCCCACCTTCTCCAGGCTCCTTGTGTTGCAAACATACCAGACCTCTTGCCAGAAAATTCAGACTTGATTTCAAAATGACAATTTCTAATTCTACAAAAATGGTACAGAGTCACTTACTCTCTCTGAACCCCAGATGTATCCTAATGAAGGTGGGGAACTGGTTTTAAAGAAGTAAGGGGTATAAAGATGTGAGAGACTATGTTTGATATAATTCAGCGTTGAGCTAGTTCTCTATCTGCGCCTTCAAGATATCACTCCCACTACTCAAGATATACCTTTCTCTCCTCCATATGACAAGCTCCCATTGTTGTGAAGACCTAGATCCTGCAAGACCTAGATCTCTGCTATAGTAATTTGTGGGTTGTTCCTAAGTACAGAGTGAGAGATTTTCTTCTTGGGGTTCCCACTGTAACTCAGAGCAATTATTACATCCTGGCGATATGATAGTAAGATCCTTAAAAACAAAGGCAATCTCTGCTTTTAATCTGTGTCTTGACCAGGTATATATAGTTGCTCAAAAACTGTTTGTTGGCTACACATATAATGACAATGTGCAGAACTCTACCATATAGTTCTTGAAGAACTCACACTCCTAAAAGATTTAAGCCATGGACCTACAGAAACGATCACATTATAAAGAGCCTCACTGGAATAAGTGCTCAACAGAAGCACAGTCAAAGAGTACTGAAGTGAGCTCTAGATCCACTTGTGTCAGGCAGGACTGGACACCATGCCCAGTTCTGAAGCATGTATGTTGATTTAACTTCCATTTTTCTTACCCTATCTTTGTCTCCAATATGCCTATTCCTCCTCATGCCCCAAAGAATCCTCAGCTTTAGTGGTAGAAGGCCAAGGAATTCTTAAACTTTGGCAGACTGTTCCCAGAAGATAACTTACAAGAGCAATAAGGAGTTTTTCACAATGCAATTCTAGTTTTGTTTATAAACCCTAAAAGCTATAAATTACCAACAAATCAGCATATCTTTAAAAAAAGAAGAAAACTACCCAGAGAAGATAAAAGTTTGAAAAGTATAGAGATATAAAGTCTTGTGTTTTCATTATATACCTACGAGGGAACAGATATATTTTTTAGAATCTAAATAATTGGACTGCTCAAATGAAATTGAAAAATGATGAACCGTGACTTTCCAATCTATTTTAATATGATGTGGAGAGTAATTCCTGCCCTTCTTTATAACACAGAAGGATGTTCAATAAAACTTTGAATAAGATTTTTCTTAAAGAAAGGACTTTATATCATGGTGAGCAATGAAAGTTTAGAAATGCTCAGCGCTGAAGCCAATAGAGTAAAACTATAAGTCAGAATTCTGTAGCACTGTCTACTTCTATCAGTTTATTGTTCTGATGGGAAAACTCTAATACTGAAATATGTTCTTTCAGTAGCACTGACTGCAACACCAAACATCCCTGTTTTGTTTCCGCTAAAGACATCACATTGCTCCCCTGATGGCAAACATAGAGAATACCTTCATAGTGATAATGGGTTATTCAGCGTTCGCAGGTGCCAGACAATCGGCTAAGGAGTTTTATTTGCAAAGTTCATTAGGAGATTAAGCTTGCATTTTCCATTCTGTACATCATTGAAACTCAATTTACATCATGCCGTATGTGCCAGAAGTGGAATGTAGTGAAAATAAGGTAGCCCAGGAGCCACTTGGAGAGCTATCCTGGAAAAACAAAATACAGTCATTTCAAATAAATCAAAATTGCATTTGTAAAGGTACATTAGGGGCTAGAGGTTTAGCTCAGTGGTAGAACACTTGCCTATAAACTCAAGGTCCCGGATTCAGTCCTCAGCACCAAAAAATTAGAAACAACAACAACAAAAGAAGAAAAGGTCCAGCCTTGAAACCATGAAAGATTTCATTTCTATACAAGCCAGGAAAAATACTGTGCAGAAGATGTGGTCATCGTCATTCCACACACACTCCACAGGAGTATTTTGGTTTCTCAAGCTGTCCCCTTTTTCCATGTGTTCAAATAGCAGATGGGGTTTACAAGGGCCCTCCTGCCAGCTCTATCCAATTCAGGGAACTCAGACCAGCTCTGAAGGAGGACTCATATCTGGTCGCCCAGCTCTCACACCTCCAGAGTCAAAATCACTGGAACTTGAGACACAAAGTAAAACACACTTCATTGGAGGCAAACTGCCCAAAAAGGATCACTTGCTACCACTTAGGAATATAATCATTTTCTCTTTCTTAATGTTTTAAAAGAAAATGTCATTATGTAGAACCCTAAAAAGTTGAATAGAGGGGCTCCCCGTGGCAGCTTTGCTAATCCTCAACTCTTGGGTTAATATCACCGTAGCTGCTCCCCGTCTTGTTAACTGCGCAGGATGTCTGTGTGGCTCCAGAACCTACAAAGCTAATGCCATTGGAGAAATTCTGCCTGTGTCCCCTTCCCTATGGACAACCTCCCATTTCTAGGCTACTGGTTAATCCTACCTTTTGTTTATTTTTCTTCACGTGCCTTGCACAAATGTCCTAACCCGGAACCACCTCAACAGCTCCCAGGCTTCTCTTGTTGCAAAAATGAGTGAATATGTTTACATTTTAATTCCCTCTTTCTGAAATAAAATACAGTTCTTCTAATGATTTTGAACAATTGTATGTATAAAGGTCATTGATGGACTTTAGGTCCCAAAGCAAGCAATAGAGTTATGCGCTTTAAAGTAAAAATCATGTGAATGTTCTACAACTTGTCCAACCCTAAGGCTGTGATCGAGAGAGAGAAGAGAGGAGGCAGAAAATATTTTGATTTTAAAAATTGGAAAAAAAAGCAATAAAGGGGTTAGAGATTTTAAAGCAGATGCTAGAGTTAAGGACGTGCCCAGGCAATCAGAAACTCTCCGCAAAGCATTTCTGTAGTAAACATATTACCAACAATTTTCTTGGAGTAGAATGATTGCACTGACAGCCCTGGAACTGCTATTCTTTCTCACAGACCGAATTGCACAGAACATCATTAAGTCCCATTTGGAGACGTGTCAGTACACCATGGAAGAGCTGCACCAGCTGGCCTGGCAGACCCACACCTACGAAGAAATCAAAGCGTACCAGAGCAAGGTACCTGGAAACCATGAGACGCTTCCCTGTGCTACCCTTTCTGGCTTTCTTAGCCCCAGCACTACTGATGTCATATATCAGCCCACCCTTCCTCCAGGGCCTGTTCTGTGCATTCTGAAATGTTTCCCAACGTCTCTAGTACTACCCTCAAACACTATAGTAACCAAAACTGTCTCTAGGTATTGCCAAATGTTCCCTGGGAGGCAGAAATGTCCTGATTGAAAACCACTAGTGGAGTGACCACAGAGATCTGTGCCTTCATCAGACAGCTTTGGGTCATTTCACAGTGGTCCCTGGGGTCCAGGCAAGGGCCAGGAGCCATTGAGTACTTACCAGACTTCCATGGCCAAGATACAGAACAGAGCGTTCTAAACTTTTTTCTTGCCCTCAGTATCAAAAGTGGTCCAAGAAAAAAGGACAATTCACTCAACATTATTGGCACTAATGTTACATTCATTTTTTGTGTCCATTGGGGGTGTTCTAAGGAAGGAGTTGCTTGTACAGTACTCACAGCACTTGACTTTGGAATTAAGATACTCATTTGTAAGGTCTATCAGTTAATAAAATTTTAATTTTAAAAAATGTGCATGATTTAGACAACACTGGTTTTTCTCTAACAGAAAAGCTAGCTCTTTTTATAAACACAGGTACAAAGACGTAGACACTATTATCATCAATAAAAATAGAATTAACATACATGGATTTAGGATTCTCAATTTTCAAAAAAACCCAAGTACAAAATACTTGGGAGTTGTACATTACTTTAAAGCACAATTTGATTTGATATTTTTTGGAATTTGTTTTATACAAAACAAAATCTCCCTAAGTTCTTGAAAAAGAACAGAACATAAAAATATCATTAGTTTCATGTCCATGAGGTACCTATGAAAGTGACATTATGGAAAGAAGACTGCAAATGCAAGTGCTACTCTGAACCCAAGGGTTTATTTTTACATAATGAGTTAAGATCTTGAGTTTGTTCCTGTGAGGAGGAAAAACTAGGGAGAAAAGTAGCTTCACATACTACGAACACAGCCACAGTATTTCCACAGTCATAGCATAATGTGGAAACATTTGGCAACACTTAAATTAAAACCATAAAGATCCTAAATAAAAACAACAAAAAGGAAACACTGCCCTCTTCTTCTAAAGGAATTGTATGATTCCCACCTGGAGCCCCAAGTTACAGGTGAGCACCACAGGCAGCCCTGAGTATCTTATGGACTTGGTGAGTTACTGGCTCCGGTTGCATGCTGAGTCCTCTCTCCCACAGTCCAGGGAAGCGCTGTGGCAGCAGTGTGCGATCCAAATCACCCACGCCATCCAGTACGTGGTGGAGTTCGCCAAGCGGATCACAGGCTTCATGGAGCTCTGTCAGAATGACCAGATTCTACTTCTGAAGTCAGGTGAGCAAGGAAAAGTTCCCCGGGGGCGGGGCAGAGTATTTTAGACCTGCATGTGGTTGGCCCTTAACTCTGATGTGGTTCTAGAACATTCTCTTCCCAATAGGCAGCTCGTTTTACCACCCACATTGTCAGCTAAATCCCACAGGAAAAGCTCTGTAATAAAAAATGCCTGGATCCTCATTCCATTCCCCTTTGAAGTCAAATACAATTTTGCTTATTGAAAGTGGAGCTATTAATTGCGGAGGTTGAGATACCCAGCTTGACAGGCAGGGCAAATAATTAGTGTGTCAAGGTGGCTGAGTTGCTGAGCTGGCACTAAAACTTACTCCTTGCCTTCTGTAAGGGAAAAAAATTGCAGGCTAGCTGAGCTCTGCCTCTGTGGTCATGTCCAATCACTGTAATGAGGATAGCCTGCAGCCAGGGTATATTGGGAAAAACTCTGCTGAGCTCTAATCTTTCCCCTTTCTTCTCTCATGCACCCCACCACACATAAAACCACTTAGGAGGAAACCCCAAGAAACTCTGCGTTTGACTGACTTTGTGTGTGCTATTACGTAACAGGAAGAGTGATTTCTTGTGCCTTTCTTGAGTCCCTTTGAAAACTGCAAATAGAAACATCATGGTGTTTGTGATAATCTTCATGGTTCTTGTCCATGCATATTAATAATATTAGCATCCTTTTTATTTATTTATTTATTTATTTATTTTGGTGGAACCGGGATTGAACTCAGACCCTTGCACTTGCTAGGGAAGCGCTTATTCCACTGAGCCATGTCCCCAGCCCCTTGCATCCTTTTTATATATAATATAGGTGCATATTTTCATCTTTACCTGTGTTTTAATCCTTTCAGTCTTATGAAATTGGTATTATTTCCATCTTAAAGCAAAGAAAGGGCCAGCCAAATAACTCAGAGGATTAAAGTGCCTGCTTAGGCAGACACAGGGGCTGGGAGTTCTATCCCCGGGCCTGCAGTGCCATCCCTGCCCCCCAAGGCATGCTGAGATGGCGACTGAGACTGGGTGTGGTGGCCCGCGCCTGTAATCCCAGCACTCAGGTGGCTGTAAACAGGAGGACCACTACGAGTCCGATCTATGGAGTGAGACCCTGTACACCCTGTCCTAAATACAAAAAGAAAATAAAAAATAAAGCAAAGGAGCCTGAGATTCATAGAAGTAAAATGATGTGTTAAGTATCACAAAGCTGATACTACAATTTAGGACAAACAGAATTGTGTCTTAAAATGTTGCCTTTGCTTTGCCAAATAATGTGAATTGATGAAAACTTTGACTTCAGCACCAGTTTGAATGTTATAGTTACCTAACAACCCTTCAACTTAGTCAAAACAACTGCTTCTTTTTCTCTCAGAGTTCCTGGGGGGCAGGGATCAGCAGGAATGACTTGTCTCTGCTCCAGACAATGGCCATTAAGACAACCCCACAGGGGCCTGAAGGATCCACTTCCAAACTTTCTTGCTCACCTGGCTGGTGAACTAGGCTGGTTGGCAGGTTAGAGCTCAGCAGAGGTGCCAGGGCAGTGGCTCTGCCATTGTCCTGTGAGCTGCTCCACAGAGCACTTGGACTTCCTGCTACATGGATGTGAGGCTCCCAAAGCTGTCATTTCGAGACACCGAGGCAGAACTTTGCAGATCTCTCTGATTTAGCCTCAGAAGTCTGTGTTAGTTCCTCCATAGTGATCAGGCGAGGCATTCACCAGGCCTGCCTGGGTTCAAGAGCAGTAGGTATGCATTCTACTTCTCCATAGGGGTGTGGCATGTCTAGAAAAGCATGGGAAACTGTCCAGCACTAGCTCCTTACTCTGTCAGGAGGTGTTCAGAGAGTGTGTGTACATATACATGTCTTTAATTTTTTTAACTCAGGTTGCTTGGAAGTGGTTTTGGTGAGAATGTGTCGTGCCTTCAATCCGTTAAACAACACTGTTCTGTTTGAAGGAAAATATGGAGGAATGCAGATGTTCAAAGCCTTAGGTGAGTTTCACTCAGAGGACGGCGCAGTTTCATTAGGTGCACCAGCTTCTCCCTCTAGACCACAACTGTCAAGTGAAATGCTTTTGATTCTTTGATATGAGCTCATCTCATCATTCAATAGGAGTTAGACCAAGAGGGCCTCCAATATTTCATCCTCCTCTCCTGATTCTATAGCCGTAGCTCCTTATAGGACAAGAAGTAAGTCATAGATCCTATTGAGGCCTCACGGAAGCAGACTAAGGCTAAAAAAGCTGTAATGCATTGGAGATCATTCATTGTAAAGTTGGTTTTTATTTAACCTTTTGTTTTACTGATTCACAAAGTATAGCTTCCAGATCCCTAGTGGTTCATGGTGTGACTGCTTAAGTTTTCTATATAAATCCATACTCATGACTCAAGACAATTATTTAAAGAGGGGATTCTTCATATATTTCCCACACAGAGCAGCAACTTTCTGTCAGTAGTGTTAGAGCTGGTGTCCATCTGATTGAAACTAACCCCAACCTCCTTTGGGGAGGGATCAGCCCCACCAGTCTTTGCTTTGACATGCTGTGTGTCCCCATGTCCAGTCCTCAGTATGCTACATGAATCAGAAGGACATTGGCAAAGATGGACTGAGGCCAGGAAAGGTTTAGATGATTCCCAGGGCTACTTGTTCTGTGTCCTTTCCAAGAACACCAAAGAAGCCCCTGCCCTTTCACCTCTTGTTCTGTTAGCTGATCCGGCAGCCAACAGCAAGCCCTTCAGGACTAGCAAAGTTTCCCTTCTCCAGCTGATATCCATCCATGCTGTTCCCAGGGCTAGATTTTCAAGCAAGAAGAAAGAGGCTTGGCAAGCAACTTCAGTATATTTCCAGCCTCATCAAATAAACATTGACTGAGGACCAGTGAAGAGATGCAACATTATTTTGCCAAAATTCACAATGGTTAAGCAAGTACCCTGGAAGTTAAAGATATATAAACTATAGCTCTCCCATCAGCTTTCCAGGGAAATTACCAATAGAGAAGAGGCTTGCTTCCATTCTGTAAGAAGTTTCTGTCAGCTTAGCATAAAGGCCCTGGACACCTTACACAGCTAAGTCACTAGCTCTAGGAGTCCTCTGCCCCTATATATAACAATTTAGGTTTTTCCATGAATGTTATCTCTATTCCAAAAGATCCACAAATCATTTATCTGCATGTTTTTAACAATAGATAGTTTCCGATTTATAGGATGGGATTCTGGTCTCCGACTCCCAGCTACACATCACATTGCCAGCACACCATATCGATTTGCTCATGACTAGTGATGATTTCTTCATTCTATAATTAGTATCGAGTTATTTAGTATGTTTCAGAATTTAGAAATGCCTTTCCTGTATGCCCAGTGTGCCAGTCCTTAGAAAACTTCTCAATAGTAAGACTTCCTTACACTTGTCCTGTTCTAAGTTCAAGTACTTCCATTTAATTTTTCTTCTTCTTTCGCAGGTTCTGATGACCTAGTGAATGAAGCATTTGACTTTGCAAAGAATTTGTGTTCTTTGCAGCTGACGGAGGAGGAGATTGCTTTGTTCTCGTCTGCTGTTCTGATATCTCCAGGTAGTGAGACTTCGGGTCTTACCTTATTTTCAAACCTGCTTTACTATGTTTGATATCAGTTACACCTATGGAAGTCAAAGTGTTTGGGAAAAACTTCAAAGTAACTGCACTTTCTTTAATATATATATATTTTAGTGCAGGCTCTACAA